GAATGGGGAAGAAATGTAATTTAAGTGACTTGACCGGTGACCCGGTGTCACTCCTGTCAGCGAAGAACAGGAAACTGAGGCTACAATCCCCAAAACTAGACAATAGAAGACTGGAAAAATGTTTCCTGGCCTGAAGAGTCTATTTCTGTTGCAGTATTCAGATGGTAGGGTCAGAACGTGGTGCAAACAACATGAAAGCCTGGATCCATCCTACTGAGTGTCAAAGTTTCAGCCTGGTGGAGTGTAACGGTGTGTGGGGGGGGGGAAGCTTGGCACACTTTGGAGCCCTCAGTACCACCTGAGCATCATTTAAACTGTCTTTACGCTGTACAGACTCCGCTGATGAGCGTTTAATTAATTTGTTTAATTAATTAATTTGTTGTTTTATGTTTTATTTTTATTTCCACAGCATACCTGAGCATTGCTGCTGACCACGTCTATCCCTTTACGACCACATTGTACTCAGGGTGAAGGAGATAAAGGCCTTGAATCGGACTTGAACCTTTAGCCTTATGGTTAATACATTTTTAATAACCATGTAGAAAAATGATCTCCATTGTTACTGTAAAGCTGTAAATTGCATTCAGGAAACTTGATAAATTCTCTGCAGTGCATCTATAAACACTATCTGGATGGCTTTCATAAAGGATTGTTATAAAACTTGGTTTAAAGAACCTTTAACTGAGTCCTGTTTCACTTTCACTCCCTGTTCGGTTAGATTAAGGCTGCCTTGTTAGGTTTAGGAAAAGATCGTCGTTTTGGATTAAAATACACCAGTTCACAGCCTAAATCTGCACACTGAATACACTTTAAGGGTACCCAGTGCATTACAAGCAACACCTTATCTGTATCTCCAAGGAGGATTTAATGCACCGGGGAATAAAAACACTGATCGAAATCTTTTACAGATGATAAAGAAAAACAGTCATCTTTAACAAATGCATATATGTGGACAGTGCATGAAATATTATATGTGAGTATGCTATCAAAATGCCATCGTTAAACTTTCAGCACAATAAATATTATTAATGAACCTTAAAATAATCAGTGTTTATTTCACAAACTAATGAAACAACCAATAAAACAAGTCCACATAAATCACAACATTATTTTTGATTAGCAAACATTGCTAGATAACAGTAATGTTTCTAAACAGCATAGTTAAAGTTGTCCAGCCACTTTTTGAACATCAGTAACACAAGCAGATACAGATTACAGCAAATCAGTTTTGCTTTGATTGTTACATAATCAATATTAATATTAAATTTAAAGCCTGGCAGCAACTTTTTCTTTTCACTACAGCAGCAGAGCACGTGTCAGAGGAGGTGGGGTCAAGGAGAGGCTCCTGCCTGTCACAGACTCGTTCAGCCAGCGGTGAGTGCACAAATACTGATAATGACGTGTGTTTTAATAGTCTGAGACATTAACATTAAATGGACTTTGTGGATATTTCTCTTTTTTCCAAAACATCCAAAAGGAACAAACGTCATTAACTTCTTCTGTTTCCAATCACAATCCTATTCAAAGTGAGATCAAACGAATAATGAATGGGGAGAAAATAGGAAAATCATTCTTAAGCAAGTTAAAACAAACATTCAGATTATTATTATTTTTTAAATAGGCTTGAGGGTGAAAGTAAAGCGAGAAGCTTCAAAGGTCTTGTTTAATCAGGACCTGACTTTACAGCCTCCATCGCTCTGAATTACCCGGGCGCTAAAGGGAAAGTAGCTGCTTATCAATATTTAGTGCTGCTGCAGTGCTTTATGGGCAGTTACTGACACTGCCTGACCTTTTGTACTGACCCTCATCACGGCACTTGATGTGCTGTTACAGTCCTTTAAACAGAGCATCACTGATGATTATAAACCATCTAAATTACTTTATAAAGCACATGAAAGCGTGAAATTTATATTTGCTGGTGCATAAAGGTGAGCAGATAACGTCCTACCCTGATATATTTCTTCATATTTCAGGGGTTGGTTTAGTTCCTCCTGCACTCATCCTTTACTGATGGCACAAGGGATTTTTTTTGTTGCAGCAGCAGGATAGAATAAAAACAGAACAGTCTACAATGAATTTCTGTTCAATTTAATTTTATCTATATAGCTCCAAATCACAACAACAGTCGCCTCATGGCGCTTTATATTGTAAGGTCGACCCCACAATAATGCATACAGAGAAAAACCCAACAATCATATGACCCCCTACGTGCAAGCACTTTGGCGACAGTGTGAAGGAAAAACTCCCTTTTAACAGGAAGAAACCTCCAGCAGAACCAGGCTCAGGTTGGGGTGAGAGAAGGAAGACAGGATAAAAGACATGCTGTGGAAGAGAGCCAGAGATTAATACCAAGTATAAATTGGAGTCTAATAAATATATATATTTCAAACCACTGATGCACAAATACAACAGTGATAGAAGCAAAAAAAGCAAAGTGGGCCCTGAGTATTCACTCATATTTTATTACAACCATAAGCAGAAGCCATACGTTAGAGCAGTGGCTTCCCAAAGGTAAACAAAGCTAAACAGATCATCTCGAAACTAACACACAGGTTCTTCATTATTACTGAAATATTATAGCTTAAAATTCCTCCATCAGGCTCTTGGATGGCGGGAGTTCGCGTCAGGTTTTAAGGAGGATACAGGCATGTGGTGTAGCTGATCCTGCTGGGAAGGGCTGGGCACGGCCGGGCTGAGGCGGAGTGTGGACAAGTAAACAGATGCCAAGTCAAATAAAACTCTGCAATGGAACAGCTCTGGGCAGCAGGACACATTTAACACAAACACACACACTTTGTACACATTCAGTAGACTGTTTACACACAGCGTAGGCAGCGCAGCAGACGCGGGGTGATCCAGCTCCATCGCAGCTCGCTCAACCAGAGAAAATCTGTAAGCCGAGTTTCAACCACAGTCATGTGACAAATCATCTTTCCCCAACAGAGAAGAAGCTTGTTCCCTTTTCAGCCTGTAACATTAGGAGCTCTGACACAGCAGGTGCGACACACACAAACACACATGTGCACACACCACTGTTACAAAACCCCATAATTGCAACATAAGTAACCTCATTTATCAGGCGGTTCTGGTGGGCTGTGAGGTGTGGCCACGTAAGGAGCAGTCATGCTAATCAGTGACATTTACAGACGAAGGTGTGTCTGGCTTCTGGATGTTATGTAGAGAACATGACTCTCTTTGTTGCTGCTTCATGGAAATCTCCACTCAGCTGCAGTGTTTGGTTTGGATCAAGACATGAGCTGTGCCTTCACCCCACAGATCAGCGAAGCAGTTAACAGACAGTATTAGCAATTCTTCTGTTGATCCCTGAGGCTCAGGCAAAGTCTTTGTTCTCACATGGCCGGTCAGAGGTCATTTACAGAGCAGCACCACTTCTGGACCTGGAAGGCCTGGCCTTCTCAAATTCATGGTGTATTTGATTATGAGGGAGTAGCTGATGCAAACAGATGCCCTGCGCTCCAACTGAACGCCACTTATAGGGCCCAAAGGGCTCCACAAACAGAAAAAAGTCCAACATATTTTGGGAAAAAGAATAATTAGGTGTTTAAGTTTGACTGGGAAAGACATTTCTGAATGAGCTTCAACCACTTTTTAAATTATTATTATTAGGGTGACAAAAGTTAGAGCGGCAAAGCTGGGATGCTTTGTACAGGTGCAGAGGAGGGATAGTGGATATACTGGACGAGGATGCTAGGGATAGGGGCAGCTGAAGGTACATGTTTAACTGTATTTTTTATATTACTTATTAAAATAAAACATTATTTTATTAATATTTGAGGCAGAAAAAAAACAGCGCACTGACCTGTGGCTTTCTTCCATTTTTCAGTCCTTTGTTTGCAGCCATGTCATCTATTGCCAACATTAATTATTTATAATTTAATTTTGGGTGGTTTTTTTGGCCAAGCTCAAAAGTAATTAATACACTTCAGGATATGCCAGGATTGCTTTTAACACTTGGAAATCCGTTGATGTCAGTGACTGCCTGAAGTCTATAACTCAGGGACGTCATCAAAGACTGTTTTTCCTCCTTTGAGATATTCTGTCAGACTTCTACAGCAAAACTTTTGTAAAACACCTTGAATTAGAGCTGGAAGTCTGCATTTCAATCACACGCGGCCTGTTTCATTCAGTGTTCACTTTGGTGGTGTACACAGTTCACCAAACTATAAAAAAAAGTGTCTTATAGACCTACTAACTGTAATATGATCATTGCATAGCGTATCAAACTGTAGCTAATTTTTAATTCATTAACATCCCAACTTAAGCATGGTATATAGAAACGCACCATTTATGTGCTTCTTTTCTTTAAATTAAATAAGCACATTTTACTCTTGCACACAAATAACCTGTAGCGAACTCCATGAGTGACATTTCTGTGATTAAAAACACAAAATCAAACAAGCAAAAAAACCATCCAACAATGGCTCCAACCCGACCGGGTGGCTGATTAAGACATGCTTGGAGAGGCCCGTGAACAGGTTTAGGAATGGAAGGAGAAAAAGATCTCTCGGTGAAATCGTATAGTCCTCTTGCATTCTGCTTGACTAACAGAACAACCCAATCACAGAGGGCGAAAAACAAAACAAAAACTAAGCATGCATGTACACGCACTACAAAATATTTTGCAGAAATTCCGTTTTCTGTCTTTTGTCTGGGGTCTTGCTGTTGGTGTTTTGTTTTTTTTGGCTTTCCCATTTCATGTACCCACTCTCACACTATATGCAAACTAACAGGGTCACAACTTGCCCGAACACGCCGCTTCTCCAACCTCAGGAGGAGTTCCTGTTAACAAATACATGTCTGTGTTTTAAGTACGGTGTACAGCGCACGTCTATATACTGGAAACCTTATATTGGTATTCAAAAATGACTGACATGTTTAGACAGGAGGTGGAAGAATCTATACATCCGACACATGTTGGTCTGGAGTGCAACACACTCACTCACACACACACGCACAAAGAAAGCTGGCTTCAGACGTGCTGGAAGAATATGAAATGTATTTTAAAGTACAGAGTAGCAATAATCATAGTAAAACAGAACATGTGCAAAGAGAGTCAGGGGTAAAAGAAAAATATCTTTACAGTGTAAACCGACAGGTTTGTTGCAATCAGTGAGAACATTGACACGCAGTGACATTCAAACACTCACGTACAGGCACACCAAGCTGCAGCTCGGGCTGAAGAATTCAGTATGTTGCATACAGTAAATGATTTACGGGTGACAGATTGTCTCAACAGCAGAAGTTTTCCTCTTTAAAGTTAGCGTCTTTTGCCGTAATTTTGAGTAGCTCCTCAGTAAATGTGTGGACTTCCCCTCGCTGGAGCGGCACGGCTAAGCTTTCAGATTTTCCCCATCAATGCAGATGAATTGACATGTGTTTAAAGGTGAAACAACAGGATGTGAAATGAACTGGATTTATTGTGTTGCTTTTCCTGGAAGCTGCTGTAACTTAAATGAAGTTCAAGTTCAAATTGCGCAGGGCCAGGAAAGCCTAGGAAGAATCAAAAATAGTTCACCCCTGATCTCAGAATATGAGCACCATCATCATCATTTAGCCGATGTTATATTTAACCTTTGCATTACAAACCCCCCCAAAACATTTTGCTGTCGTTTATTTCTTCACCCATCCCTTCATCTCACCTCCTTCTTACAATCTCATTTTCTTTGGGAGGAACTTGTGTTTCTTAATTATTGTGATATTTGTAACAGTGCTCGGAATACTGCAGAGTGGAGTCTTTGTTCTACAAGCTTGCTGTACATTTTTTGCTGCATCCAAAAACAAAAACAAACTCCATTTATCACACACACACACACACACACACACACACACACACACACACACACACCACCACACACACACACACACACACAGGTGCAAAAGTATTTTAACAGCCGAGGCCCGGCGGTACAGTCAGCGCCATCTTTGGGGATTATTTATGTTTATTTATTAGAGCACAGGAAGAGAGTACTATCCTTCAACCTCAATCCCATTTCTGCCACTATTTCATCTGTCCTCTCATCATCATCATCATCATTATTATTAAAACATTCCAGAGGCGGCAGGATCGAGGCAGAGACTCATTAATCAACCCTCGCCAGCAGGTGAAGCAGCGAGTCCACAGTCCTGCTATCGTGCTGCTCTCTGCCCTCCAGCTTTGATGCTGCTGTGACTGTCTGTCAGACGGACAGTGAAGGAAGTGCCTGTCCGTCGGGGTTGGCGTTTATCCCGAGGTTGGAGAGGAGGCCCTGGAGGTGTGTGATGGTGTTCAGCAGCTGCTTCTTCTCCTCCTCCAGTGCAGAAACCTGCTCCTTCAGCTGCCCCTCTGCCTGGGCCAAAGCCTCCACTCGACTCTCCAGGTTGCACACTCGAGCGTGGGACACCTGGGTGAGAACAGCGAGGGAGCGGTGACCTAATGGAACAAAGAACGGGCAAAGGCAGCTTTTCTTCTTTTGTGCAAGCGTGCGTGTGTGTGTGTACCTGGAGCTCCTCGAGCAGGTCGAGGTTCTGCTGTCGCAGGCTCTGATTGGTCCTCTCCAGCTGCGCAGCTCGCTGGTGCTGGTTGAGGGTCGGGGGCGTGTCCAGCAGCTCATCCTGCAACACGTGGTACTCCACCTCATAGGCTTGGAGCTGCTTGGACACATCCATCTCACAAACCTGAAGCAGAGGCATTTAATAACTCTCAGCTGGGTGAACATTTGAACTGCTTGCAAACAGGAGAATCGCGTTTCCATCGTGTCATACCATTATAAAAGAATGTATGTGAAGAGGATATAAAAGGAATATGACCAGGTTAAAAGTGGGTTTAATTGTTATTTTTACTGATTTGATTGATCTAAAACTCTTGCTTTGGCTTTGTAACTATTTAACTATTTCGGTCGTTATTGCTAATTGTTCTCACCAAAGACAACATTTGGAGGCAGTAAACAAAAGCAGCCGCACAATCACACAATTCAACAAGACTTCAAACACATTCGGTTTAGAGCTGCTCATTAACTGAGATTTCTCATATATATCTATATATTTAAATAAAAAAAATAGTCTTTTGCTCACGTGTATTCCCTTTATTTCACTGAGGGCACTTTGTGTTTCTCAGCAAAATTACGTTATCATTACTCACAGCAATGGTGGTCAAAACTAGGAACAAAGCCTCGTGTGAAACTGGGGATGTTTACTCTACAATGTCAACACATTACACACACTGAGCAGGCTGCTGTTGTCCAGACCAAAGAATTTTTCACATTTCGGCATTACAAAACAATGAACTGACCTGGAGTCTCCACACATCCAGTATGTTCACTCCCACTTTTCTTTTTCTTTTTTCTCAGATGAAACTGTGAGTCATAACACATGTAACATATACATAATCCAATATGAAAAAGTGGCACTGGAGGGAAAGTACCGGCAAGTAAGCAGTTTGCTATCTCATAGAAATTATAAGATAAGCGCGTACCTTCTAAAGTATAGCTTACCATGAGTTATTAGCTCTGTGTCATCTGTGATAGCTAGGGATGGGTACCGGTATCGGTTCTGACATAAACTGTAGTAACCAGACCGAAAAGCAGCGCACATTTTGGTGCTTTATTTCGGTGCTTTTTTTTTTCCTAAGCTGTGTTACACTTCTAGCCAATCATTTTACTTTTCCGAGGATAGTAGGCGGGTCCAGGTACGTACGTTCTTTTAGAGCAGAGCTACAGATTAACAAGGAGAAGCGATCAAAAGTCTGGCTGTACTTCACAGCAAAATATGCAAACTCAGCAGCCTGCAACAAGTGCTTTAAGCTGATACTGTGATACTGTCAAAGGAGGTAACACCTCAAATCCGATGAAACACCTGGCGACGCATAGCGTTTTTTTTAAAAGCCAAGAAATGCGCCGTATTTGATAGCTTGCTGCGAGACCTCACACCGTGCACATCTACTGCGGGTGGGGTGCCTGTTATCGGACCAGGAACAACATCCCCCAAAAACCCGAAGAATAGAGTCCTGGCCCCTAGCCCTGCCAGTGTAGCAGAAATGATGAGGATGATGATGGCAGCAGCAGCCGTTCTTCTCTGCGTGAGTAGCTTAATGTTGTTCGTGTGTAATTTACGTTGAGTAGGCTAACCACGTTATTACATTAATGCATGTAAGGTGAACTAGCAAACATCATCATAGCTACATGCGGCTGTCTTCTTGTTTGATGGCAGATACTCCCTTCACCCTGGCCAAAAAGGCTAAAATGACCAAAGAAAAAGTGGAAAACAGTTAAACATGAGAGGTTTTTGGACAAAGTTTGTGTTTTTTTCCATTGATTAAGCACTGCTTCCAGCCAAGAGTGATGCCATATATATGCCCCATAGCTGCAGAAAAGGCTAACATTGTTATCTTTTTACAAAAAACAGCTGAACATGAGAGGTTTTTGGACCAATTTTATGTTCTCCATTCTTTAAGCACCGGTTTGGCACCGGTATCGGATAAAACCTAAACGATACCCATCCCTAGTGATAGCTGACAGCCACATTACCGCGCACCTTAATGGTTAACATTTTCTCATGGCAACCATAAATTACACTAAAAAGTGAAACCTGACCAAGACTATGAGATTTTACCCACTCGAGTCGATCAGCGTGAGAGGCCCATCTTACTGACGTGGTATTTTTCCAAATGGTGACGCATGAGGTAAAATTTACATAACTTCACACACACTCCACCCATCAGCTGCTCTCATCACTGTTGTAAAGGCAGGGTGTGGCTGGCCATGATAGCCTCTGTCACTCAAGCAGGATATCATTCTCCTTTGTCTCATTGTGAAGCCATTAAACTGTCTCCTTTAACTGCTGCGAGTTGTAAAACCATATCTCAAAATGAAACACATCTGTTCCGTGAACTTAGTAAAAATGTTTTAATAGTTTCGTGAGCTCATTTAGAGCAACAACAGACAAGAAAAGAACGTCCAGTTTTACAACAGCTAATCTGATGAGCTCGGTGCTGGTTATCGTGTAAACGATGTCTGGTATGAGTGTGAGTAAAGGCACAAAGTCGCCAAAATAAACTGCAGGAGGACCACCAGGAAATTTTTTATAACAAACCTCACAGCTGAACATGGAGGACATTTCAAAGACAAACAAAGGCAAACTGGCTAAAGCTAAAGCTATCCAGAGCTCAGAGCCAGCCACAAGCCAGCAGCCTCGGTATGAGCAACGGATCAAAGATGTTACGAGGAGAATTATGGAGATAAATGAAAACGTTTTTTTATTACATAAATCTTCTCCACCTCCTCAATCCAAAGTTTTATCTGTTAAAACTTTGGATTGAAGACGAGCTGATTTTTGCCATATGTCAAATATAGATCTTAGAAAGAAAACTGAAAGCTGCAAAAATCTGTAGCATTAGGTCCCACAGGAAGTAACAGGCGTTCCTCTGTTTTCACATACGAAGTTCAGATCATTTTAAATAGAATGTTTGTGTTATAAAGGCATCAAATTGTGCAAAAGATCAGTATTTTTGTCACACCAGTTGTTGTAGAATCAGCGTTTCTGCATTTTCAACTAGAGCAGGGCGATATGACCAAAAATATTTATCACGATATACATTTGAAAATTTGTGATAACGATATAACTGACACTAGACAAAATACTTTACAACTCCTCAACTTTATTAGTGCAAAAAATAAATAAATAAATAAAAACCACCCATGAATGTATTTTCACTTAAACAAGCAGCTGTTTTTTTATGTGCATTAAAGTTATATAAAAAATTAACAGTGCAAATGCAAAATCCTTGCTGACAGTTTAACCAAAAGGTATTTCCAGTGGAAATTGGCCGACATATCCTCAGCATAACCATGTATCCACAAAACTTAAAAAGAGGTTATACACATAATAGGGTAATATTATGTTGAAGCGCAGTACGTATCACTCCGCGAGGCTCCTGCCTACGATAGCCGTAATGCTCCGACAATCCATCAAGCGGTGCGGGTTCGTAGCTTAGCAAAGTCGTACTGAAACATTTGACCGATTTTCGAGCACCGTGTACGACATAAAATTGTTTCCAGGTCAGTAAACACAACCAGAATTCATACATAAGGCACACAGGATTATAAGGGGCACTGTCGATTTTCAGAAAAATCAAAGGATTGATTTTCCAAAAAACACGGTAATAACGACGGCCCGCTAGCATGCACTACCAAAAATAGTGCTTTGTTGTGTATCTGACGGACGAAAGCTAAACCAGTTCCACACCACTGAAGTTGCAGCATTTTTACAAACCAATTCTGGTTCATCCGTTTCATTTAACGATCAACTTTCGCTCTTCTCATTCTGCGTCGCCGCCATGTGCGTATGTAAACAAAGGCACTGCGCATGCGCCAGTATTACCGTGAACGGTATGATATAGCCCAGCCCTATTTTCAACCATAGAAAAGACCAAATATCAAGAGTCTGATAGAAAACACTGGAAAAAAAAAAGAAGTTACTTTTTATCGCTGACTAACATTTAGCTAGAATAGTTATGCATCACTCGCTCTTTAAAAGACAACTCTTTAAAATGAAAGTAAGGAATTCATAGAGAAAGTCTTTCTCACTGTCCTACATCCAACTAGTTGTTAGTTTTGTTTCAAACATGAAAATTAAAAATCACGCCAGACCAATTGTTCAGCAATGACTCAATTATCTCAATGGGACGATGGCTCATAACCTTTCTATAACTCCCAAAACTCCATACATAAGATCACACTGATAAAAAATAAATAAATAGATTTCTGTACTCCAGTGTTAAAATGAGTAGTTACACATTACTAAACAACTTTGTCTCCTTGTCTAACCTGGTTGATGGTTTTCTCCATCTGTACGAGGCCCAGGTTGGGTAGCATGGTCTTGATGAAATCCACAATAGACTCCAAGCTGTCGTGCTGCAGGATCAGAGGTTTGTGGCTCCCCAGCAGGCTTAGGGCCACCTTGAAGATGACCTCTGACCCCTGCAGGAACACCATATCTGACAGAGGACAAAAAGGAAGGATAAGTTACAGAGGCAAGCGGGGAAAAAACCCAGAAAACACAGGGAAAGGAGGCTAAAAAAGGCTCTAGCGTGACGGCACTCTTAAATTACATATTGTAAAAATCAATACTGACATGTGCTGACAGCAGAACTTACCCTGTTTAATGGCAACTTAAAGGCTCATTAATGGGAAGAATGATTTGACGTCAGCAGAAAACGTTTAAGCAAACATAAATGTAGGCCATTGTGAATCTGCAGAGCCAGAGAGCATTTGTGTGTGTATACTGTGAATACATCAGGGTGTGGTAAGGGTTAGGCAGGATTGCATGAGATCATACAGAAGATTAAGGAATGGCAGCAGAGGTGTGGGCCCCACAGATGATATCAAAGACCTGACAGTGCAAATGTGATGGCCGCTAAGCGCAACACACGCACGCTCGTGCACGTCAACACACACACAAATGAAGTGTTATGCTCAGATGAGCACAAGGAGCCAGTGAGTCTGGTTCAATGACTGAGTACTATGTAAGAAATTAGGCGTGAAAACAAAAGTGCGGAAGGAATGAGGTAGAGAGAAAGGCAACTGCAGAAAACATATACCCTCTGTGGGCGTGATGGCATTTACACAAATGAGGAAAAGGTCACTTAACAGATAAACAGTAACTGTAACTGAGTCTCAGTGTGCACATGACTCAACTGAATCCTTTACTTTGCCTGAAGTCCCTCCCCAACTCCTTCACCAAACTTTCAGGATTATAGTACTACTTATCTTCAATCAGTTACTAAAATTTCATTTAGCTCTGACAATTTCCTTTCAGCATTTTGGGTTCAAGATCTAATTAGATGAGATACCTAGGGAGTAGAGATAACTAAACATCACTGTAAACGCCCCGTCATCCTTTTTCCTGTCATGCGTCAATACTGCTGTGCTTCTATCAGGAAGAAGAAACAAGGCGGCGACCCACCAAATCCACTGTGCAGAAATAGAAAGCCTTCAAAGCTTACCAAAAACTCTGGCCACAAACCCGAGGGGAAAGTGTGAGGCGAAGACCGTGAGGAACCAGGGGGTGGCATATAAGCTGGGCCCGATCTCCTGCTGCTCCAAGTGGCTGTAAAGATCCCTGTGATAGTCATGAAGCAGCCGCGACAGCTGGTACATCTGGATCTGAGAGGAGCAACAGCACTTCGTTGTAAAGGTGTAACATGACTTTGTATGAGAGGCTTTTATTATTTCACACATGCTTTAAAAACTGGATCTGTTATACATGAACATTTGTAGGATTTTAATAGAGAGTATTCAGGAAGACAAACGTCTTGGTAAAAAATGGAAAGATTTTTTTTCCTTAAGTTTACGACGCAAACACAAGTTTAAGAATGGACCAATAACACGACACCTTATTATGAGGTCACCTCCTTGGCGGGTAAAACGAGGGCTTCCTGTGTGGTATGACAATTATTTTTTAAGCAATTTTTCACTTATCATTAATGAGCCACTCCGTTCATTCACCATAGCAAAGTATAGAGTATTGCACTAATGTGAATACTTTCCTAACTCCCTCATACAAAGTGCTGCGGTGAGGTCATATCAATTTGTCTTTCTACAGAGCAACTCCAACGTTATCCGTGGTAGATCACATCCACACCAAGTTTACTGAAGGTGCCTCATTTAAAGTGGTATAAGAAATAAGTTTTGATTAGATTAATGTTAAACTGGAATGCTGACAACAGTGACTCTTAAACTAGTCAGGGTACACTATGGGAAATGGCCTTTTTACCAGTGCTGGATTATGCAGATGTCATTTAAGTGTATGCTGCTGCCTCACTGTGTATTATCGTCACTTAACACTCAAAGAGAACAACACAGTTTATTTTTAAAACCATCTTTAATTAAATTTCACGTCATTTATGATCGGGTTAGCCATATGAGTGTTTGTACACAAGGATGGGAAAAACTTTTAAGCACCTCACAGAACTTTCAGGTTAGGCCCCAGCCATAAAGGCCAGTTGTTGACTGCTTGGCAACCACTATTCCTGGATGAAAATGAGGATGCAACCAGTTACATGAGGTTCCTTGCAAATACTATGAAATCAGTCACACAGACCTAGAACATAGAGATCCTGTGGCCACCACGGACCACAAGAGAAAAATGTGTCTACCTCAACCAGCTGGTGAGTAGCTGCTGGTTGAGGTGCCGCTGAGTGAAATTGGTCACAAAGAGCCACATGGCGCTGCCGTAAAAGCTTGTAATCACTTTGATTAACAGCAGATTTGGCACAGTTTGTGTGGAAGAACCAGACTCGCCAGGAATTCTTTCAGCTGCTCCCCTCTTGGGGTCACCACAGCAGACAACCTGCCTCATCCCGTCCTCATATTTGCTTTGACAATATAGAATTTCTCGTTTTGACCTCAAAAACCACAAAATGATTGATGAGTTATTATCTGGTTTTGTTCACTTTCATTCTAGCAGCAAAGTAAGATGAGGGATTGTTCACAAAAGGTGTGTATAACGTTCACAAAGTGGAAAGCTGTCAAGGACCTTTGGAATTTATTGATTAAGGATCACGAGCACCAAGATCGTAACAGCACTTCGTTCATATTCATAGTTTGAAGCTTGAGAAAAAGCAACAGTCCTGTGCAATATTATTGTGGAGTATGCCGCATGTTGGACTGGTGTTGGACTCCCTGAATTAGCTCACAAGCTTTTTATTGTTACGTGACCTGCGCTTGAATTCAGGAACAAAACACATGATGTTTAGCATGATAACAAGGTTGTTTAGCATTTAACCATAGTATGTAGCTCTTTTGGTTCTAGTTCTATCAAAAGATGAAATTCAATCCCACACTGGAATTCAAAACCAATGACGTAGTTATCTGTAACACGAGCACTATTTACCAACTGTGTGGCGAGTACTAATGCAACTAAATTCCAATGCCAAGCACTAAGACCATGTCTCAACCTCACCAACGCTCTAGAGGCTATTAATTCACTGTTTTTGTTTGAAAACGAAAACGTAAGCAGACGTGTCATCTAAAAACAAAAAAAGGGGAATAAGAAGCATCAAATTCCAGAAAATGTGAGTTAGTGACATTACTCAACTACGTAACCACTGGAACTGGAGGGCTTTGCTCATGTGATTCAAGTATTTAAGAAAGGGAAACATAATGTAGATTAAGTTGTTTGGGGACACTGACAAGAGAATATTGTGTGGGTGAACACTGTACCTGCAGGATAATCATGTCAGGCCTGTACTGTTTGCGGAGCCCAGCATCGTACATTAGAAATTTGAGCATGTCGAAGGCGTCTTCTTCCCCCATGTGTAAAAGCAGCACTCCAGCAATGAAGGACAGGCCCTGGCAGTATCCCACCTACAAAAACGACAACCACAAACTTGATGCCAACAACACAGGGGAGGGAAACTCTCTCAAGTCTAAAAGACAGGTAACAGCTGGCTTTTTTTTCTTCCTTTTTTCCCACTGAATATCAAAAGAAACATGCAGAATGAAAGAGGAGAAAGGCAGAAATAAAGCAAAAACAGAATTCAATGATACCTCAGGGTCAAGCAGTGAGTAGGCTTTCAGGATATTATAGAGAGACAGCTGTCCTGCCCCCAGCTGGGCTTGGAAATATGGATGTGTGGGAAAAGTACGACCTGGAAGAGAAGAGCGGAGCGGCATATTATCTCTCAGCAACGTCCGTAGTTTGCATTAAATATTATTTCAAACTAATGCACCAGATACGCAGTCGAAAACAACACTGACACAGCTTTAGAAGTGTAACATTTTCTTCTCATGGTTTATTTTAATTCGCTCTATTCTATTCAGCAGCATCTGGGTGTGTCCATGTTTTTGAACAAAGCATATACACTGCTGATCTTCGCTGTGGATGCAGAACTTCTCACTTTGCTGTTGACGTTAAAAAGGAGCTCAGTGCAGCTGCATGCACGTACTCTTTTGGAGCAAACACTCTTACAAACAGGTTCTTGAGAAGCGCACAGATGAACGCAGCTTTTTAAAGAGAACCGATCCCCGTGCTTCAGAGGCTTAACGTGTATTAGTGGATTGGACGTGTATGTTTCAAAAATGACAATAAGGAATGCACTCCATTTAAAAACAAAACAAAAAAGCACTCTAAGGAAGGACAGACTAGTAATTGGCAGGTGTGTGTCAGGGGACTGAGGACTTGATTTACAGTTAGTGATGTGAGGTTTTAGAGAACCGAATGAAAACCGTGTGAGTGTATATTAAAGGAATGTGCGTGGGGGATTTAAGCTGGTGAACATAATGTCATGACTCCTTCCCCTGCCTGGAGGAAAGTGTGTCTATTCTGCTACATAAAAAGGTGTGGGAATGCAATGTGTTACGCACCTACATTCTAACCAAAAAAATAAATTAATTCCTCTTTCGCTTGTTTATGTGAAGGAAATAGCCTTGAGCTGCCATAAATCTTCTACCTGCATTCTTTTTTTTGTAGCTCCAGTGTGACAAACACTGTGTTTATCACACTGCATATAACACCTTTATATTAGACCATGTATGCAAACCGCCAGTTTGTATGTGCACGCCGTTACAGCTGTCCCTGCCCTATTAGATGTAGAGTAAATAACATGAAAAACACAGGGTCAAAAGCAAAAACTGAGGGAGGGGAAGCACTACAGGGACAGATCTGTGGGTGGATGTGTCTATGTATATATATGTGGGTGTTATATGGGTGGGGTGTAGGTAGTGAGTGTATGTGGGTTTTTGGGTGGGAGGTGTTGGGAGCATTTAAGGGAGAAAGTGTTAAAATGAGGTTTGACAAATACAAAAGAATATATGCAGTTTATGTGGCGTTTGCTATGTACGTTTGACTTCTTGGTATCACGCAGAAGGAAATTTACATTTTCCACAGTACTTGTCAAAGAATGACCATAAACCAGTGGGAACAATGAGGTGTTTGGCTACGTGAATTTATAAACATCACACACGTCACACAAAGAGACTGACAAATTGATTATTTAAAAGCAACAGTTCTACTAAAATCTTATGTTTTCTTTTCCTTTATGCACTGTAGCTACAAAGTAGTGATTATGCTTGGTATGCATGCTGACTGAAGCGCCAAACAAAAGGATTAGAGAGGCTCCCGTGCTCACAATCAGCTGTTGCACCTATATTAAAGGTCATAGATGTACAGGGTATGACGACAAAGAATCAGACACTTTACTTTCTAAGTAAATATGGCTCTTAAACCATTAAAGGCATTCTCCTTATAGCCGTTCAGCTTGCTCCTGTTATGTTTGGCTCACTCTTCGAAAGTCTCATTCTGAACACCTGAAGGGGAAAATCTGTGATACACACTTTTGACAGTTGTGCTGCACGTTCAACCTGAGACGCCTCTGGGTCATTCCAGTAGAACTCGACACTGACTGTCTAAACACAAAAACACAAACGATGCTCCTGATTGGGCTTCAATGTTAAAGGATCAGTCCAAGGTCATGAGGAAACTGCCAGTGTGAATCTGCAAGTGGTCTAAGTGTGACTGTCAGGGAGTCATCCAAACGTTGCAAAACGGCATAAATAAGAACAGAAAAAAAGGCAATGAATCAAGTTTAGCTCAAGAGCTTTTTTGTTTTTAAATTACAGGTTCTTCAACAGGCAGCCTGCAGGCCAACGATCACCAGTGGTAATCAGGGGTTCAAATGGGATTAATAATGCGTTGGCAGTGTTTGTGGCATACATAGCATTTAGAGAAAATATATTATTTAAAGAAACAACCAACTTACATTTGGCTGTAAAAGAAAGTGTGTAGGCATTTTATGCATACAACGACTGCAATTAGACTAAAGTTATTAGACTTAACTGATGACATAAAATCTGTTTATTTATTTACTGTTTTGAATTAGACTGCGATTCGTAAAATATACACATTGTTAAAAATCACTTTTGTGACATTGACGACATGGGAAAGCGAATGTACCAGGCACATTTAGATAACCCACACGCAGTTTAACCCTGCATGTTAACCGTGGATGCATTACCCAGGTCGATGAGGATGGCATGTTGCTGTGAGGTGAGTTGTTTCAGCAGCTCTTTGTATGGAGTGTGATTAGAAGGGGGCCGGGAAGGGACTGTCTGTGTTAGCCGGTACTGTTCGGCGAGAAACTTCCAGATCTCTCCTCTGTGTTGCCTTGGGACACCTGCCAGACAACGATAAAGGAAGGAGAGGGTGATGAGGACAAACGTGGGACAGAACGCTACCATGTTGAGTGAAACGCGTCCGCAATGTCCAAAGGGATTTCTACCCTACTTGAGTTATTAACTATTTGTACATGCCTGTAGAACTTAGTAACAGAAGTTGTCTCCATCATAACTTTAATCTACTAATATCCCGAGCATCGTTCAATCACCGTTTGCCCGCTTCTTGCATGTAAAATTTACTCTCAGCTTCCTCTCAGATGGATTATCCAGCTTGTATCCCTAATTCACCAGGTTCTCAGACTGCTATTTGTTATATGGTGACCTTTCTGTGTGTAAATACGTGTGTTGGACTCGTTGTTCGAGGCCGTGTGCACAGTAGATAACCTTCCTGTCCACGCTGCAGAACATGCTGATACTAGAAAATGGACAGAACAAAAAGGCCTGATGATTAGAGACACGCACCAGAGATAAAAAATGTCAAAGGGAATAGACACCGAGTTCACTGTGCCCAAAAACAGTGAGTAGAATGCCTCATGGAATTCAGTCACCTTGCTTTTGCCACATTTTAAAAAACAGTTATGAAGATAAGTTACAGTTTTTGGAGCTTTGTGCGTTAAGGTTTGGTCAATATTTGAAAATCTCTGCTGATTTTAAGAAGAATAAACATTTACAGGAGGAACTGATATAGAGCATGTGTTTGTGGAGCCAAGTATGTACCTTGTGCAACTGCAGTATGTATGGTCTCGGCGTCAAATTTGACCTTTGCCCTCCCAGGAGTTCCTAGCATTTTCTCCCACACCAGCGTGACCTCCTTCAGACACGGAGTGATTTCTTCATAGTCCAACTTCAGGCGCTTGTTCTGCAGATCGTTCTCTGATGCTACAAACACAAACACACAAACAACGCATGTGAGAAAAAGCAACGACACTGTGCGTTTGCTGGTGGAGCTGAGGTGTTAGGACTCGGTTTCTGAGAACTATTTGAGCTCATCATCTCATCATTATGTGCGCTGCTCAAAACTCTCGAAATTATGCGCTATCGATTTCAGTTTGGTTTTGCGTATTAAAATGAGCCTCACATAGCACCCGTGCACTTTCATAAATTACTAATCCTGACTTTCATTCGCTCTTTGTTGTGGCAAAGTGATGAGCAGAAACATGCAGCTGCACTGCATTAATACACTTCTCAGCAAAGGTCAGAAGATACAGGTGATAGTGAGTGAAAAGAAAAGAAAATCACTAAACAGCGGTGACAACTTGCTTGATGACTCTTCAGGTTCTTTAAGGAAAGTGTCCCCTTTACATGGCATCCAGAGTGCAATTTACTCTACTGTGGTTAACCATGCTGATTATAGAAACTTTACTGTCACTAGATCTGCTTCTATGGGTGTTTTCTTTGCAACCCCTTCAAAGGAACATAAGACCACAGCTGTCTGTCCGACCCTCTGCAACATCCTGTAGCTGGAATTCTCAATAGATCCCTTCAGTTAGTACAGAAAGTGTTGCTCTAAGCTATGAAAGACACAGCTCTTGTTTACGACCCACAGTCAAAAAAATACCCCGAGGATGCCTTAATTTTCACATGGAGACACACACGTTCTAATTAGCAATAACTGGAGACGTACATAATTGCAACATCCCCTTTATTTATGAAACTTTTTTGTTTGTCTTTTTTGGTTCGATGTAAAGGAAAACCTCCCACTGGACTTTCAGGTTAGTACAGTTTACAAACCAAACAGAAAAACACAAACTGAATTCCGTTGCAACATGTTGACACCAGTGATCAAAGAAGGTGAGGGCACACCCAGCACCCCTCATCTGTTCCTCTCTCTATGACAACACCCTTCCTCTCTCCCTCCCCAAATCTCTTAGCCCAAAACCCATGTCTTCTCTCTTTTTTCTTCTCAGTCAATCCCATGTCTGTATAGTCCCACCACCACCCCCTCCCTCTTCCCCTGTGGACGCCCCCACCCTTTCCGTTCAAATGTGGTGTCCACCCAGTGACCAGCTGCAGCTTGGCTGCGCTCGGGAGAGTGATATCATCATTACAGGAGGACAGAGACAGAGACAGGAGGCCACCCATCGCAGCCGGCACTGCAAAGGACTCTAGGAAAATAAGGTGTAAGAGGAAAAAAGGCTGAATGAATATTTAAAAAAAAAAAAAAAAAAAGACTAGCAGCACAATTTTATTAAACAAACTAAGAAATGTAATTTTAGGGCTGCTTTGAACTCACAAAATAAAAGGTCTAAGGAAAAAAACTGAAAAAAAGCTGTATGAATACCTTTTATGGGACATAAATCAGAAATGTAGAGGAATGACCTGGAAGGCATAATCTAGATTAATGGGAAAAAACTTGGACGGAGCAGATAGCTGACACACCCATAGTAAGAATAGATGCTGAGGCTGTGGCCATGCCGTCTGTCTTATCATCTGTTCAGAGCAAGCAGTGTCTCGTCACTCAGGAGCGGCACACTGGCAGGAGCCCAGCTAGCGCTCCTTCTCTTTCCTCTGTCTAGCCTTCTCCTTGTCTCCTACTTTCTTTTCTTTCTCTTTCACTGCCGCCGGAAAACTCCACCCTTGATAAAACACAACAGGATAGGATAACCCACCCTGGAGCTGACAAAGATACGCACACATGGATGGACGTGCACGCGCGTGTTTTCATAGTTGACCCACAAACCAGGCGGCAGCGAGAGAGATAAACTCATAGAATGGAGGATACGGAGTCGGGCTCCACCCTGACAAATAACGGACAGAAAGGTGGAGTGCACGCTGTGGGAGACTAAAACACAATAAATCTACAGAGCGCCAAGAAAGCCGCCACACGCTGGCAATGTTTGGATTGGTGTGTGTTTGTGTAGTGCGATCAGAGTGTCTGCGTGAGGCAGAATTGTGAGGCTGTGGTCCCAACTGTATTTTCTTTTTCTTACATCAATATTGACCTTCATTCGTTAATCTAGCACCATGTGCTTGTCAATTTATGGTTCATAAATAGAGGCAGAGGTATGACACATGGCTAGATGGGTGTAGATATGAGCCAACTGGGTCAGGAAAAAGGTGGTGCACTTGGCATGTGCCTACCAGGAAGCACTTTTGGGCGCGCGCGCGCACACACATGCAATAACGTGTTATATAACTTGATCATTTGTGGTTTGTGATTTTAAATAAAGAAAAGTAGGTGTATACTCAATTTGCAACGCTTTAAGAGCATACATTTGGAAAGGCGTGTTGCCAGTGTCTTAAACAAAGACTCGTCCTACTTTTTAGCTTCCAGAGAAACCAACTCATCGTGTAGTCAATGACTACCGATGAGCCACATGAAACAAACAGTACCTGCATGTTATCATGTAGACAGAGCGAATTCAGACAGAGCTGCAGTAATATTTAACACACCTCAAAAATTTTAGAGTTAAGGGCTAATAAAACACTTTTTCACAGCAATAAAGCACCATTTGGCTCATCCAGCTTTTCTAATTTGTGTGCATTTCGTTTTGATGTGTACATCTCAAATTCAGGCAAACATTGAAGTTTTTTCTCCACCTCAAAAGGATGCTTGAGTAGCTGCTGTGTAGATTACGGGCTGAACACCACAACACTGTGAAATGCGATGGCAAAGTTTGATTATATGTCTCACTGTAGAGAAGTTTATTTTAACTTCTCTGTTTAGGGCTATTTTTTAAGAGTTGTTACTTGTAAATATGAATAAATCTCAAAAGTCAGTGTGGGCTCATTGCGTGTATCTGTTTTAAAAAAAAAAAAATCCCTTTATTCATCTAGCTCACCTTGTAGCTTCTGGTTCTCTCTCTCCATCCTCTGCAGGAGAATCTGCTGCAGGATGGCCTTCTTCCAGAGATCCCTCAGCTCCTCTTTGGTTCTCTTCGTCTTCTCCTCAGGCACCGGTCTCATCGCCGAGTCCCCAGATCCTCCACCCACGATCTGGGCCACAACCTGACAGGCATCAGACCCATCTTAAAGACATTTAAAAGATTATCATATTAGTTTACATTAGATTATGTTGCACAAGATGTTTACTGTAGCAAATGTAAAAAAAGATCTTAATTTAGATTGAGAAATGTATCTTTAAAAACAGTTTTGTTGAGCAAAAAAAAAAGCAATAAACACTCCAAGTCATTTCAATTTAAAATGAAACAATCACAAATATCTTCTGGAGTTAGAAGCTTATTAATAAAAACATTTATGAGCAGCACATTCACATTCCTTCATCTGGACTAGCAGATAACACGCCGTTTAAGAACTGCAGGCCCTCCGATTAGATTCAGACCCACAGTTCTGGGTTTGTGTGTTAGATGTGTTGTGATTCTTTCACCATTAGCAATGACAATAAGCAAGAAATTTACATTTCATTTACACTTCATTTACATTTGTTCAACACTTCACTTTGTTTACAGGTATGAACAAAACTTTTGTTCATACCTGACGGAGGCGAGTGTCAACTTCTCTTACTTTCAAACGTGTTGGTATAAAAAGGAACAAAATCATCATCTCTAAAAAATTCAAGTAGCCTTCCAGACCCCTCTCTCTCTCTTCTTTCTCTCTCTTCTTTCTCTCTCTTCTTTCTCTCTCTTTTGGTGAATGTCACAGACACTCATGCAAAACAACAAGAAAATGCTAAACATAGATATATTTGACACAGTTGGGTGCAACACACAGACAGTAAAAAAAAAAAAAAAAAGCGTTTGTGTGACTCCACCTCAAAGTACAGGGTGGATCCCAAACCTCAAAATACCCTGTGTTGTTTAGAGGAACGACATACCAACTATCCAGATCGCACTTCTCTTTCAGTTCGCGGGAATATCACGATTGATCCTGATCACTAAAATACACACGTACACACATACCTTAGCCTAACTTAGGTATGTAAATCTGATGCTTATCTTGTCAAAGACTCTTCTGAGGAAAAAAAATAAATAAATATGTAAAGGTCATCCTTTCAATACTACAAAAAACACTCACGCACATCACAATGGCGGGCTTTGTGTAAAACGAGTCTTATATTTGTGGAGTGATCATCTGTTTCTAAGACATGCTGAAACCAGCCGAGTCACCACACAAATTTATGGCTCTTCAGTTATAAAAGAGGTGAAGACAAAGCAAACTCATGGCTGACACACACAGAAAGACACTAAGACACACACACACACGCACGCGCACAACTCTCTTAACAGATTCATGTTTCTTACTAGAGAGAGACAACTGCTGCAGTTTCAGCAGAAGACTGGTGACAATTTGTCTTTAGGTGAAAAAATGTCAAACTTTCAAATTGCAATACTTGATGACATTAATTCCCCACCTACTTACCCCAACTAACACTATGGTACTGCATATTCCTCATAATAACATGAAAACACACACACACACACACACACAACACACACACACACACACACACACACACACACACACACACACACACACACACACACACACACACACACACACTCTGACAACAGTGCACAACCACTCCCTGTGCAAACAACCTGGTCAGAACCAGGTTGCAGTGTGCGCACACACACACACACCATGCAAAGTGGGTCAACAAGGCTGGCGCTTTCCTCTGGCGCTGTCTATGTATGGACTGTCAACATGACCTTGAGACACACTGCCACTTCCAGCAAAACACACACACACCACGCCCATGACCTCATGCATCTACGCACACACATAAATACACACCCAACAAGTTTAGCACTGCATTCAGCCAGCACAAAGCCCATCACATTGACTTGTTAAAAAAAAAAAAAAAAGCCCTGTTTTTCCCTTCACTTGCTTGCAGTTGAGCGTCAAAGTAAACTTTGGCTGCACATTTCATTAACTGAAACATTTAACATGCTTCAATTACAGGGCAAATTCATGCAGAAAGACAGACTTCACCAGTCTCTGCACATTCAGTGTTAAAGTGAAGAAAACAACCACATTAGTCCAACATACCAATCTGATTTTATGAAATACAATATCCACCCAACAGACTCCAGTTGGGCGTGTGCATGAGTCAACATAATAATAGGAAAACTACATAATCTTACTTACTCCTGAGAAGAATACCACCTTTGTGAGGATTTAAATATTGCTGAAGGTGCACCAGGGAGGTATTATTTAACTGTATGGAAATCTTTGTAGCTGTAATGTGCCGTTAAAGCCACAAAGCGTAACATTGGGAAATGTGATCTTTGGCACCCCCCAGTGGTTAGATCTTGAGGGCCTCTTAGTTAACATTTTAATAATTTATCTAGACAAAACAACCAACAGGCATTCTAGTTAACAACACATTATGTGCTGCACATACATGTCCAAACAACATGGGAGTGTAGGACACCGCTAGTGGAAACTAGTTATTCTCAATGAGTTTTTGAAAAGCAGCAATTTAGCAATTAGCTGATGAATCAAGGAGTCAGTGGACATAAAAACAAAATAAAATCATAATAATGCATGCATGCATGTTACTGAAAGAAACAGTGTACACCCTGTTAGTCCAAGTCTTCCAATAACACAAAATAAACACTGACATAACAAAGTACAGAAAACACTTCTTTTTGTAAATAAAATGCACTGTGTGAGAAAACGGTTTTATATCAGCTCACATGGATCATGCTTCTTTCCTGCTCGGTGCTTACTGGCATTACAGTGTGAGAAGCTCAACTATCTCAACTGTCAACACTTCTTCTGTCCTGAGTGCACTGTACATATAATTATGACACAGAATCCAAAGACTTGCAAGCACTAGCATGATTAAGACATGTCCACAAGCTGAAATACAGGCATTTTTATGTCAACATATGTTGTGATTGATATTTCAAAGTTATCTGAAGTCAAAGTAACTGTTCACTACCCAAAGTTATACAGTTTTCTACTTGTAACCATCATACCTTGACGGTATTTGACAAGAGCTGTCATTTCCCAGGCAACAATTACAACTGTTTGCTCAAGGTTTTCAAGCTTTTAGGCAAATCTTCATTTTCAAGCATTCAAATAATCAACCAGCAGCATTAGTGAAGAAATTTATACTGCAGTAACACAAAATTAACACTCCACCAGAATAATCATCTAGTGCAGCTGTCCCCAATCCCCAGGCCACAGACTGGTACCTGTCCGTGAGTCATTTAGTACCGTTGAGGCTTGGGTATGAAATTTATGGTTTTCAGAGTTTTTATCGGTTTTAGCGGTTTGTTTGTTTTTGAATTCTTTTTTTATCGTTTTTATCGTTGACTCGGTTTCCTGGGTCTGTTCCCTTGTGTTATGAATGAATCGTCTTTTTTTGATACCGGTTGACACCTTAAAGGCCGGTCCTTGAAAATATTGTCAGACAAAAACCAGTCTGTGTCTGTGGCGCAAAAAAAAAGGTTGGGGACCACTGATCTAGTGCCAATACTGGATTTGTAAAAAAACCAAAACCAAAACAAATAAAAAGTACATGAATATATCACAAATTCTTAGTTTCACCTTACATTTTAGAAAGTATCACTTCAACATCAAGAAAGAGGTTTCTGGGTACTATTTGCTCAGTTTACTGATCAATTTACTGATGATATCAAAGGTCTGGGGCTTTGCCAACAACTGTTAGTATAATCAATTCATTACAGCCCTACATAACAACAAATATAACTGTGATTAACTAAATATAATATAAATATATGTTTAATGCATGACTTCCGTAGGTTAAAAAATAATAATAATAATAAAGAAGTAATAAAAAGTATACTGCTTCCCCAAAATGGAGGAGATGAGAAATTAAAACTGTTATGATAAACAGATAGGGAGTTACGTTTAAGTTATGAATCTCTGCCTTCAACTCTTCTGAGAGTTCTTAGCATAAAACTAAATGAAAGAGTGACACACAGTGGAAATGCTTTGTGTCTGCACCGCAGGAGCAGATTTAATAACAGTGTAGTAACAGCTTACTGAAGCAGCGCAGTTTCAGTTTTGCATATGAGCTTCCTGTTTAGACTCGCAAAAACTTTAGAGGAGTATTAAACTGAATAACATGTGATTTACTAAGGTATGCAGTAAGCAAGGTACTTCAATTGAGTCAGGTTTAATAGGAAACAATTTATCTACAAATGTTCATGTTCCTGTGACAGTTTCTCCTATGAATGTTTGTGTATCTGAAATGGCAGGTGGAGAGGTTAAGAATGCGAGTGCAAACAGGGAACAGAGAATGTTAAGCCAAAGCTTTGACCCTGGTTTTTTTTGTCATATGTTTTGTCATTTCTACACAAAACTTTGTCCTTTATCTTTACTCAGCAGTGTGCACACACACAAAGTTTGACTTTTAGTGTGCTAAAAGTCTTGCTCTAGTAACACACACTTGTACCCCTCTCCAGCAATTTCATTTACAGCAGAAAAAAAAAGTACTTTTTGTAAAGACATTACTCACTCCCTCATCAGTTCTGCTCATTTTCAGCCTGGTAATTTGCAATTGCTAGAATGCATTGGTCATTACATGAAGTGGCTGTGTCATGTTTATATACATCAGCATACTGTTAGTTGATCACCCACATAATTTTCTACTCCATCAGCGCATTTGTTAGCCTCATGCTAATTTGTCATGCTTAAGAAACCTGGGCTTTAGCAAAGCAAAGCATGTACACACACTCTTTATGGAGTGTGTTTTCACTTTCAGCTTTGCAAGCCGCTGTCAGCTTTTCTGTTCTCAGCTTAGAAGTGGATCCAAAGTTAAAATTTACATTAGCCATTAGACAGACTAATATACCAAAGATAAACAGGAATACAACTAATTTCACACAAGAATTGCTTTTTAGAGCATGATGACAACACAGCATGTTGGGGTTATCTACAGTCTCAAGAACAATGAGGGGTCCAGCATGAAGTGAATTATGTCTTTAACCATGATTTCAAAAGTTTTAAGTGTGTGTGGGTGTCCCTTACCGATGGAGTCTGTGCCTTTCTGAGGAGTAGCGACCCGCAAGAAGATCTGCTGCCTCCACGAGTGGCGGCGGCTGCGCTGAGGGCTTTCCCCGACCCCACCAGCTGCACTTGGTGTGGAAAGCGCCACTACATCACTGACAGCACAAACACCCAAATACAGAGATGTAGTTACAGATGTGCCCTGATAAACAGTCAATAGATAGATAGAACTTACTTTTTACACATACATGTATGCATGCATGTGCATGTACACATATCAAAACCACTTCAAAGACTGTATGAAACCAGAAGTACAGATTATGACTTTGCTATTACTAACAGACATTTACACTGACTTTTGGTACGAGTGTGTGTGTACCTGTTCTTTGGGTCAGGACAATCATTCTCTCGGACAGTGGCCAGAAATGGAAATTTCAGAAAATTAGGGACAGATGAGGAAGAGTGGAGACGAGCACGGAGACCACCCAGAGGACTGAGATGCAGGTGGCGATAAACAGAAGGCAAAAACAAATGAAAGAACAATCGTGGAATCGCATCCTAACAGAGACATGCAGACGTAATTCCAGCGATATCACCAAAAGCATGATGACATTTTCTGCTGAGGTGGAAAAAGCTGAACACAGCCCAGCGATTATAAATGAGGGATGGATTTAGCATGTCTCTGTCTGAATGGCGAACTACAGAAAAATACAGAACACAAGACTACAGGAAGGTATGAAAAGTTAGTACGAGAGCATTTAAAAACACAAAGAAAAACATTAGTTAAACTAAAAAAACAGATTCTCACCTTCTTTTACTGAGCCGGGCTCCAGAAGAAGGTGAGGAAGGAGGATGAAGGAGGAGAGAAGAGTGGGACGAAGGACAAGGAAGGGCAGGAGGAAGAGCAGAGTTGCATGGGACGTGTCTGAGAGTCAGTGCGAGTGCAGAGAGAATGAGAGGAAGTAAAGAATATAATGGGCAATGACAAATGTATTTAAACAGAAGGAGAGTTTCAGAGTAACCGGTATAGAGTTAGGAGAAAAACATGTGACTATAAGTGCATATGCATCATATAAACAAGATTTTTGTCAAGCATGAAACTACAGAATATTGTGTTTTTATCTCTATATGGTCTATATGAGTAAAATGAGTTTGATCAACCCATTTTGCATTTGATATCAATCATTTAGAACATGTTTTTACCAAACTCTGCAAAATGTTAGAAACATGTAGATAAAAAAAAAAAAAAAAAAAAAAAAAACAGAGAAAAAGGTTTGCAGAAGGCTGAGATAGAGCGCAAGTAAAGCCAACATCCAGGGAGAGGAATGATGCAGTAATCCACGTACAAGTTTCACTTTCTTTTGACACAAATATGCTGGTGTCACTGAAAACTCAAACATGACAAAAATCCTCTTAACACGTTTGGAAAAAGATGATACTGCTTGCTCCTCATTGTCATAGACTTGATGAACCACAGTATTAAACGACAACACACACACAGCTTCATTACTACTTGCAAATACCATAGTTTCATTATCTTTTTCTCAAAGTGACAAAGCGATGCGTACTCTCCAAACTGGCTTTGCAACCCTTATTCTGGGAACTGAGGTAAACCGATACAGGGTGTTAGACCACAAGGTAAAAATACCATCACTATAACCATCAACTTTTTAAGCTATAAAAAATATATAAATTAAATAAAATACTAAAACCAATCCTTTTCTAAATTTCTCATAGCAGCGAGTTCCTTTACACACATGACATTGTACGCATCTTGAAGACACAAATAATCATACTGTATTTGTCTGTTATTAATAAGTGGCACTATTTCTCTTTTATATGTTCCATTATGTTTTGATATCTTATAATATTCATTAAGTTGCCTTATTATTACAGTCAACTGTATGAAAGCACAAAGTAAAATTTAACAAATACTATCCAAATAAAATTTCTACTAGTCTATCTGTAAACACACACACACAGAAACACTCACATGCTCTACTCACTTGCTCTGGTGGGGAGTGTCCGTGCTGACGGAGTAGTGTCGCACAAGCTTGTGCTTGGTAGCTGCAGTGTGGTCCTGTGGTGGGTGAATTAGTATGTGCTCCGGTGAGTATTCGGCTGAGGAGGGGGTGGTAGGGTGGCTGAAAGTGCTGGCCCGGCGGCGGAAGCCCTGTGGCTGAGCATCCCCGGATAAAGAGGAGGAAGAGTGTGACAGCGGCAGAGAAGTGTCAATGTGCTTCAGGTCTCCTGTTGAGTTGTGACACCTGAAGATAATAAAAAGGAAAGGAATAAAAATTCATGAATGCAATAATTTCTACACAAGTCTAAGTTTATGATATGCACCACATAGTGAGAGAAAGCTTAATGTGATTTTAAACTTAATCCAATGTACCGCTGAGCAGAGAGTATACAGTGGGTACAGAAAGTATTCAGACCGCCTTACATCTTTGTTTTATTGCAGCCTTTTGCTAAAATCATTTAAGTTCATTTTTTCCTCATTAATGTACACACAGCACCCCATATTGACTTGAACAAGTTCTCACCTTTAAAGCACTGAGTAACCCGAGATATGAGGTAGCCTTTGCATATAGGAGCGTTTACCTGAGAGGGCTGGTTGATCGCTGATGAGCAGGCAAAGGATCATCTAAACAGGGCTGATCTTGGCTGCTGTTGACAGTACAAATAGATGAGCTGCTCTCACTTCCCTCGCTGTTCTCCCTTTGAGCTCTGGCCTTGCTGCTTCCCTGCCATTAACAAACACACGTGTGTTAAACACATGGTTTTTACCTGTGAGCAAAGATCACAAACCAAGACACACAACCTTCCCAACCAATTTCTCAGTGCTTTACTCTATATGTAAAGACTAAAAACTGCTAAAAATAAATATTATAAATATGAACTCTCTCATCCTAACGGGCTGCTTTTTTTCCTGTTACACTGCAAAAACAATGAATAAAATAATGAAAATATATTAATACAGGTTTGCATAATCTATACTTTCAGCTTTATTTCAGCCCCGAACTGTTCACTACACTTTATGTGTAAACTGAGCCACTCTGTCAGTAGATATTTGCTGTGCTTGTTTTCACTCCAAGTCCTAAGCTTTTTTTTATCTTATCTTCATGTGTTCTATTGAGCTTTTTATCTAAGTGAGAGGGATGGCAAGCAATTAGTCTGATAGTTTATAGTTCCTCATTTAATTAAAAAAAAATATCCAAAGCCTGAAACTGAAAATCAAACACCTACCTATGAATTAATATCAATGTACAGCCACGATTTATTTCAATTTATATAAAATAACAGCACTTCTTGCATGTGGAAAAGCTAAGCTAAATGACTACAACGGTGTAGCACTCTTTGGGAGTGTGGGAGTGGGAATTGTTAGGTACCCACTGTTTTGCACTTTTTAAACACCTACATATACCTACATATTAACATGGGAAGCACACACATGGAGAAAGACATTTATTATAACAACTGTATTTGCTTCTTACCAAACCAAAAGGTCAGGTATGTAATTTGCATATAGTCACATACCAGAACATACTTCTGCACACAAACCAAAACAGAAACAGCACTGTTACCTTCCAGATCCCTTCCAGGGACTCAGTGAGAGAGCGCTTGGCTCGGCTCTTGAACTCCTCGAGTCGCTGCCGGCTGCTACTCTGCTGCTGTGCCTCCACAGCTGGAGCGACATCCTCACACATCTACATACACATAGAGACAGGAAAAGACACAGAAAGCAACAGTGAGCGAGAGGAAGGGAGGTCCTCAGAGGCATGCAATGACGGCAATTTGTGTGTGTCAGAAAAAGAGGACCTTAGAGGACCAGTCTTTCATAGCAATAATGACAATAGAGAGGAAATGTAGGACTTAAGAGTGCGTTCTGCTACAGAAGTGCATATGTATTTCATAGGGGTGTCCAGTAGGTACCTGTTTGCTCTCCTTCTGCACTGTGTGCTGATGGGTCTTCTGTCTCGCTTCATACAGATTTCTCAAAGAAGCCATTATCAACTCATTCTCTTCCTGATCACTCTTAGGACGAGCCCTCTGGACAAACAGACAGATTAATCAATATATTTGATGAGTTTTTGTATATATCATATATACTTATTATATATAAATGATGGAAATATGTACAAATTGTGTTTTTTGTTTTCTGTTCTGTGTCCTGTTCTTTTTGTATATGTGTGTTTTTTTGCTGGTGATACAACCACATTTCCCCTTGTGGGACAATTAAAGGATTATTCTATTCTATTCTATTCTATTCTATTCTACTTATATATATATAAAATATTTTGCTAAAATTATTATGAGATATGGAAACGTTTCAACTGGAAAAAAAGAAAAATTTAAAATTGATCACAAGTCTGTTTAAGCTGGTAAGTTTCGGAGAACTCATCTGCAGAAGTTTACATTTGGAAAATAATTTTTACACCAGGTTCCCAAAAAATGGTGAAATTGAGGTACATTAACACCTACAGCACAGTGAGCTAATAAAGACATGCTTAGCTCTGTTGGGTTGCAGTTTTACTACACCACCAGCAGATGTTAGCTAAGTCACACAGCACAATGTATCTGCATTATTACTCTGGCAGTTTCCCTTTAACGTGCCTGCCCTTCCAATAAATACCATCAGCAGACCCCATTAAAAGTACTCAAGCCCATTACTGAAAACAAAACAAAAAGCTAAGCAAGGTGAAGAGAGAAAAAAACATTGTAAAGGCAAAACTGAGAAATGAGGTGGCAGAAAAATTTTAATTATCTGTGAAGAAAGAAAAATGTATCTCTGTGAATCCCCCTCAAAAAAACTTGTGAATCCACATTCATTTATCCACGATAAACTTCGATGACCTTGCTTACTAGGAAGTTTTCATGTCACAACCACCTGAAGGGAAATTTAAAAATTTACACCGCACCCTTCAGGTCAACAGGCACAACAGGCTCATTACCATAGTGTTTTCAAAGACTGAAGCTTGATCATCATTGTCCAAAGTGGCCAAATGTTTTTGAAGCTCCAGTTTAGTTTTAGATGGGTGTAGACCTGAAAATAAAGAAAATACAGAATATAAACACACTACAAGCAAGCCTAGTCTCACTAGAGATTTGTTATACAGCAGCTTAGACAGTCCTAAAAGCCTAAATGTAAAGAGTTGTACACATCTACAACATAGAGACACCACTTATAGCTTTAAGGACACCTTCTTACCTTCTATGCTCTCACAAAGCCTGTGGAGCTGCTGCATCGGGCAGCTGTCACACTGCTGGCTCTGAGTCTTTGCATTTTGCTGCAGGGCGGCCACAGAGAACGCTTGCTTCAAAGTCAGCATGATCTCGTCCACCTTAGAAGAGTGAAATAAAATTATTTATTGCCCTTTACAAGCTTCAGTGTTTTTAGGCAAATACCAAATAAATATTAGGATGTATGTCTTTTCCCCTACACTGTTATTGTAAGAGCAATAAATGCTTCATAATAAGTGTTAACTCCTAAATTCTTAGTTTTTGAAACCAGCTTTGTTCAGTTTGTTTAATTTTTATAGCCAAATCCCCGGAGAGCATCTGATTTGCTCCTTTTCTATCCCCAACACCAGAACATCTCCCTTTGAGTGTACAAGGTCTTTAACAACACTAAAGGGAAATCTAGCTCTGCAAACAGGAAAGCAGAGCCACTGCACATCTGGAATCAAAACTCCAGCTCCATATGGGAACAGACATTATGTAATGTTCATTTTACAACCTGTTAAAATGAACTCTGGCAGCTGATGTTTAACAGAACAAGTGTCTGATTCTTTCAAGAAATACAGTATACTCACAGCGCAGAGCTAGCTATCATACAGTAGCTTTTTTTTCCAAACCAAAATTGAGTACTTGGCACACTATGAGTCAGTGGAGCCCAGATGCACTGAGTCATAGGTCCTATGATTTACAGATATATTTAATCTGAAGTGACAGAAAAAAAGAAAACACTTGTGAGAAATTTCACCCTCCTGCCTTCTGGCATTTCATTTTAAATCCAAAGCAAACTTATTGACTCTTAAATGAAGTAGGCTGAGCAAATCCAAACACTGAGTGGGAGGGACTGATATTAAAAAAAAATCAATGGGTAAAATTCTCCTTTTCAGCACACATTCAAAATTGAAAAAAAATGTAGCTGCACCACTTCTGTTGTAAAAACTCAACAGCTGGCGATAATAACACAAAATGACACTGCGCTAGTGTCCAAATTCTTAACTGTGACTCAGTTATTTGGAGTCTGTTACATGGGAATATTGAATGAACTGTGTCTGGACACAAGCAAGAATCCTTATCAACTTCATGTCTCACCAGTGATTCATCTGTACACTGGAAGACATAACACACGAAGTGGCAGTTTCCCCCTTCCACGGTCTCCCTGCAAATGAAGCCGAAGTGATCCACATGACGAATACCCTGGAAACAGACAAACAGTGGGTTTAAAAAAAAAAAAAATCATAATCATAGTCACGCTTGAATAGTAGTAGGACTGTAGCGATCATACCTGTGAGCAGAAAGAAATTTCTTTGAAGCTCTTCTCTATTGCAACTTTCTTAGTGTCTGGACTAACCAAGAAGATCTGAGACCTGCCCACCTAAAACACAAAGAAACACAAAGAAAATACAGTTAATGCATGTGTGTTTATGACCTTATTAGCTTTCTTTCTGTAGTGTGTGACAACTGTGGTGTGGCAGTGACTACAGTTATAAATCTTACTGACAGAACTACTTAACAGAAGTTATATACAGTGTTTCCTTAAATAGTGTCCAGGGCCTACATTTAGTTAAATGCAGAAGGAAACAGAATGCCTGTGTTTTCACAGGCTTTTATTAGAGGTCGCAAATCACTCTGCTTACTGGATTAAATACTACACAACATTTTTTGTCTGTTGCACATTATTTAAAAGGGGTAGTGAATAATTATGAACATATCAATAGAAATGTCAGACTTAGCCAAAAGCCTACTATTCATCTGTAGTCCTTGGTAGGTCAGACAAAAACAAAAAAATAAGAAAAATAACACACCATCATACTATACAACAATACAGGCCTGACAATAAATATATATAAACTTACAACATGAAGTACAATAAGATAACACAGAAAAAGAAATAAATATGAATGCATATAGAATTAAATATAACACATATGTTAATATGTGTTATATTTAATTCTATATCTGATTAGTGAGTTAAAGAATTATGTCTCTTTTTGTGAATAAGAGCGACACAGCAAACTACACAATACAAATTATGACTGCCATCCTTTGCAGTGTATGTGACTTCATTAGGAAGGAGTAAGAAAATGAATGAAAAGGAAACCAAAGTCGTTTTTTCTTCTTCTTTTCATCCAGTATGACACAAAGATGAGATAAAACGAATGACTGCCATTCACAAAGACCTTTTTCATTCCCAAACTGTCATCCAAATCAGGCCATAATTAGGCTTATACCATGTAGACTGAACCCGCCATCGGACAGCGTTGCTAATCATGCACGAAGTTTGATAAAACAACACAGAAACAGCCATAAAGTGTGAAAGTGGATATTTCATTTCATTTTTTATTGGGAAACTTCAGTCTGCCTATGTAACAGTCCTTTTGTTATTTTTTCCCGAGCCTACAGGGAGTGCAGAATTATTAGGCAAGTTGTATTTTTGAGGAATAATTTTATTATTGAACAACAACCATGTTCTCAATGAACCCAAAAAACTCATTAATATCAAAGCTGAATGTTTTTGGAAGTAGTTTTTAGTTTGTTTTTAGTTTTAGCTATTTTAGGGGGATATCTGTGTGTGCAGGTGACTATTACTGTGCATAATTATTAGGCAACTTAACAAAAAACAAATATATACCCATTTCAATTATTTATTTTTACCAGTGAAACCAATATAACATCTCCACATTCACAAATATACATTTCTGACATTCAAAAACAAAACAAAAACAAATCAGCGACCAATATAGCCACCTTTCTTTGCAAGGACACTCAAAAGCCTGCATCCATGGATTCTGTCAGTGTTTTGATCTGTTCACCATCAACATTGCGTGCAGCAGCAACCACAGCCTCCCAGACACTGTTCAGAGAGGTGTACTGTTTTCCCTCCTTGTAAATCTCACATTTGATGATGGACCACAGGTTCTCAATGGGGTTCAGATCAGGTGAACAAGGTGGCCATGTCATTAGTTTTTCTTCTTTTATACCCTTTCTTGCCAGCCACGCTGTGGAGTACTTGGACGCGTGTGATGGAGCATTGTCCTGCATGAAAATCATGTTTTTCTTGAAGGATGCAGACTTCTTCCTGTACCACTGCTTGAAGAAGGTGTCTTCCAGAAACTGGCAGTAGGACTGGGAGTTGAGCTTGACTCCATCCTCAACCCGAAAAGGCCCCACAAGCTCATCTTTGATGATACCAGCCCAAACCAGTACTCCACCTCCACCTTGCTGGCGTCTGAGTCGGACTGGAGCTCTGCAATTTTCTAACCGCAAAGGCTGCGATTATACTCTGGACATGTCCAAATTCATGGGCTGCATCCTCCTGAGGCCGCATTTGTAGACCGATTACGTCACAGCGACGCGCCGAAGGCTGTCCAAATTACTACCATATCCCAGAATTCATAGCGCGGCCCAGCCAAACTCCAGTTTCCAGCAATGGCGGCCGCTACTAAGTTTTAAAATTACTCATACTAATCTTTCTGGGTCACAAAATAAACTTTTAACATATTTTCAGGCGAGAAAGTAGCTGTGTAAACATCAAATATCTGCTCGGTTTATCAAGATATCCCATATTTGCAAAAGTGCTTCGACGTTTTCAGAGGCGTCTGCTACCCTCCGGCTAGCTCGACAGCTAGCCGGAAGCTCGAGGGTTACTGATGCGGCCGAGAACGGCACAACTCCCGGCACATCATTTTCAGATCACCGCGGAGTTTCGCTGCTCGGGTTAAACGTAATATATAAGTCACTTAGACAACCTAAAAATGTTATTGTTGGGCTTTTTTCAGTGTTTTGTTTGTTCGTGAGTAAATCGGTTTGGCTGAGATTAAAGTTATTAGATTAGATAAAATAAAACTTTATTAATCCCCCGGGTGGGTTCCTCCTTGGTTTTCACACAGCTGACTAAACGTCAAACAGAAAACTTATTAAACAGAAGTATGAGACAGTCGAGAATTTACACCAGTGTCTGGTTATATTTTAGATAGCAAGAAGCAGACGGCCGAGTTTATTAAACTCCACCGAGACAGCGGTGACGCTAATCAGAACTAGCCGCTAGACCGTCCAATTTCACGCCTTTAAATTTTAAAGGCGTGTTTGTGTGTGTGTTTATACAATTGCTATTATGTTTGCACTTTATGTGTAATGTTACTGACTGCAGAGATCAGTAAGATGTGTGTATTTTTTATTTATTAGTTTTATTTATTTAATATTATTTTTTAATTGAATGACTGTCTAGTAGTTCACAGATGTCGAAAAACTGAGTGTGGTAAAGCCACTGATTTTTTTTATGTATATTTCTGCAATCTGCACATTGTACTGACTTTCATTTTAATGTTTACACCAGGGTTCCTTGTCAGCACTTTATGCTCAGATGTTTGTAAGCTAAAAATAAACTATTGTGTATGTTCAAATATACTGTTGTGATTGAAGAAGTTAAATAAAAATGTCAGTCATCAATTCATGCATCACCTCATGTCATCATAACAGAGGTCTGTCTTCCAGGAAAGAACAGTTTAAAATTAATGTAATATAGTATTGGCCATACTATATGATGTATTGCTTGTCTTTGTTTAATAATACAGAAGACAAAGACCTTAAAAAATAATCGCATATCGCATCGCAATCGCAATATTGGGGCAAAAAATCGCAATTAGATTATTTTCCATAATCGTTCAGCCCTAATACCACCCAAACCAGTACTCCACCTCCACCTTGCTGGCGTCTGAGTCGGACTGGAGCTCTCTGCCCTTTACCAATCCAGCCACGGGCCCATCCATCTGGCCCATCAAGACTCACTCTCATTTCATCAGTCCATAAAACCTTAGAAAAACCAGTCTTGAGATATTTCTTGGCCCAGTCTTGACGTTTCAGCTTGTGTGTCTTGTTCAGTGGTGGTCGTCTTTCAGCCTTTCTTACCTTGGCCATGTCTCTGAGTATTGCACACCTTGTGCTTTTGGGCACTCCAGTGATGTTGCAGCTCTGAAATATGGCCAAACTGGTGGCAAGTGGCATCTTGGCAGCTGCACGCTTGACTTTTCTCAGTTCATGGGCAGTTATTTTGCGCCTTGGTTTTTCCACACGCTTCTTGCGACCCTGTTGACTATTTTGAATGAAACGCTTGATTGTTCGATGATCACGCTTCAGAAGCTTTGCAATTTTGAGACTGCTGCATCCCTCTGCAAGATATCTCACTATTTTTGACTTTTCTGAGCCTGTCAAGTCCTTCTTTTGACCCATTTTGCCAAAGGAAAGGAAGTTGCCTAATAATTATGCACACCTGATATAGGGTGTTGATATCATTAGACCACACCCCTTCTCATTACAGAGATGCACATCACCTAATATGCTTAATTGGTAGTAGGCTTTCGAGCCTATACAGCTTGGAGTAAGACAACATGCATGAAGAGGATGATGTGGACAAAATACTCATTTGCCTAATAATTCTGCACTCCCTGTATATGTAGACAACGGCCTTTATTTACATCTACCACGACCCCGACCATTATCAGTTTTGAAATTCTCTGAACACAGCTATTCCCCTCCCTGCAGCGTCCCTTTCAATATGCCTTTCTGTATCAAATATTAATAACATAATTAGAGCCTTTTGAGAGGAATGAAGATATTTGATCTGTGTCTCTATAACTGAAGCAAAAGAGAGGCGATGATCGCACTGGGATGAGGCTACTCTGGCAGTAACAGGATGTATAGTTAGTGTTAATAATGTGTCTGTATCTGCTGAGCAGAGCAGGACACTGACCTGTGACTATTTCCTGTCTGTAAAACAAACAGGGAAATTCCTGTTGGCAAGAGACCACTGAGGTCATGAAAATGTCAATTAGGGAGACTCATTTTGAGCAGCAGTCAGCATTTGTTATTGCGGAGTCATTATATTTTTGTCTTTATACTTGTTTTCTTCTCTGCCTTTTTGGCCTTGAGCAACTGGATAAGGGGCTTTATTTTTTAATCTTGAACAGCAATTTATTGCACTACTAACATACTTTGTATTCTTATGAGTATGAATGTTCTTTGGAAAAAATTTTACAATCAAACTTCCTGTGGATTCAATCAATTTTGGTACATTAATTTAAAATGGTATGCATTATGGGTGATAAATTCAACAAAGATAATGGGACCATGTTTTGTTTTTGTTTTTTTAACTCAACGTTGAATCTGTAGTCTGGTATTTAAATCTGTTCAGAAAGCCAGAAATGTCTTAATTGTTCTCACAATCAACACTATGCATCTGGAGACCATTTCAGTCAACATACAGTGATAAGAGGGTAGCGCCCTGAATATGTCGCCAGTCTATCAAAGCTCCGACACAGAGGGACAGACAACCATTCATGCTCACATTCAGACCTACAGTGAATTGAGAATCACTAGTTAACCCAACAAGCATGCATTCGAACTGTGGAAGGAAGGCAAAAAGCACCCAAGCAAGCCCCATCAAGCACATGGAAAACATGCCAACTATTAGGACTGTGCCATATCATTCATGGTAATACCGTTATAAATTTTTACTTGACATAAAAGTGTCATATAATGGTTTGTGTGCAAGCCTTCAATGGCAGTTTAGCACCTAACAAGGGGAACTTCTTCAACAATCTTGAACAAAGAGCAATACTTTGCAAAATATGCAAGAAATCTGTTCCTGCTACAGGTGGAAACAAACTTGTTCCACCACTTGAAGCAAAAAGCACACGATCAAGTATAACCAGGCTGAAGGGGAGATACTAGCAGCTGGCGATGAGTGACCCAAATTCAACAAAATGAGTCAAGCATGTATTGCTAGATACACTCGCTAGTTACAGGAACAAATACTGGAAATTACTGATGTGGTCACATGGTGGCACCTTGTTTGAGTGTGTCATCAACAACAGCATCTCAGTGAAAAAAAGAATGGAGGATAATGCCCTTCATTTACTTACAACCACTACGCCACCGTGTTGACCTCTAATTACACTGTCATGCAATATTTATATAAGTAACATTATAATAATAAAAATTATGCTTACAAGTCCTTAATAGAGAACAAATACAGATGTTTGAAGCATCCAAAAGAGAACTCAGAACACGCCTTCAATTTGTGTGTGTGTGTGTGTGTGTGTGTGTGTGTGTGTGTGTGTGTGTGTGTGTGTTGTGTGTGTGTGTGTGTGCGCGCGCGCGCGCACGCCTTTTCACCCACCATAAACAACATGGTCCTATTCTCCTTCAGGCTGGTGGGCTGCACATCAGCGGACCGCGTCTGAGGATCGGTAGTGTTGCTGTTAGAAATCTCTGGTGAGAGGCCATTCTCATCCAGGGCCTGTAGGCAGGGAAAGCTGGGGTCTCGCTTGAACAGAATTGGGCGTTTCCCAGTGGTTGGGCTCTCTGCTGAT